GTTATGTTGTTGTTGTTAATTTTTATTTCTTAATCCACCTGGTAGCTACATGGTACATATTGATTGTATATTAGATAATTGGTCTTATATCTGCAGGTTCTATATCTATAAATTCAACCAACCACATTTTGAAAATATTTGGGAAAAATTATATCTGTACTGAAGACATACAGATTTCTTTTCTTGTCATTAATTCTTAAATAATACATACATTATAACACATACCTTGCTTTTTTTTTTCTTTTTGATGGTACTAGGAATCAAACCTAGCACATTCTAGGTTAGTTCTCTACCATTGAGCTATACCCTCAAGTCCCATATAAAGTACTTACGTTGTAGTAGGTATAATAAATACTCTAGAAGTGCTTTAAAATATACAGGAGTTTGGTTATATTTGAATACCACACCCTTTTATATACAGTATCGAGCATCTCTGGATTTTGATAAGTGTGGCAGATCCTAGAACTAGTCCCCCATGATACCTTTGTTATATTTTAAACAAAGGTATCATGTTAAAAATTAAACAATCTGTGAAGGAGTAGTGCAAGATGAGGCTGGAGAGCGAGGCACAGGTCTATCTCCAACTTGGTTCTTTCCCCAACTTCCAACTGCCTACTGGACATTTCTTCTTGGCTGTCTAGCAATTAAACAAAATCTAGTATGTCCAAAATAGAGTTATTTCCTTCTAAATGTGTCTTTTTCTCTTGCCTTTGGGATCTTGATTAAACATTGTTTTCTGGTCTAGGAATCTGGGTTTTGTTCTAGACTCCTTTGTCTCTGTTAACTTGTCTCTTTAATTGGTTTCTGTATTAGATAAGGTTTCCGGTGCCACGTGCTCTGACATATTTGGAATGACAATGCTAAGGGTTGACAATGTATTCTTTTCTCTGTAAGATTTGTTTCAGTAATTTGCCATTCACCTCAAACAAGGACAAAAAGAAGAAAAGTGAAGCTTGCTGGGTAAGACAACCCTAAGTACATTTGTAGAGCACCCACCATGTGCCAGGCCTTGGAGATGCAAAAATGAACAGGCACCCTCTGCCCTGAGAGACTGGGTCTGCTGGGGATGGATGTCAAGAGTTCACCAGAGGGGCTGGTGTCGTGGCTCAGCGGTAGAGCACTTGCCTAGCATGTGTGAGGCACTGGATTCGATTCTCAGTACCACATATAAATAAAGGTCCATCAACAACTAATAAAATATTAAAAAAAAAAGAGTTCACCAGAGGAGGGCTGCAGCTTAGTGGCAGAGGATTTGCATAAAGCACATGGGAGGCCCTAGGTTTGATCCCTAGTGTCACACACACAAAAAAAAAAATTCACTAGACTGACTCAGTAAGAAAAGGCATTCCCAGTAGAAGTGATATCAGATACCAAGGCACAGAGCCAGAAAACTGAGGCCCTAGGTTTGATCCCTAGTGTCACACACACACAAAAAAAAATTCACTAGACTGACTCAGTAAGAAAAGGCATTCCCAGCAGAAGTGATATCAGATACCAAGGCACAGAGCCAGAAAACTGTGGCACATTCAGAGATTTCAAGTACATTGATGTAGGTACAGCACAGAGCATAAGGAAAAATGGCAACAGGTGAGGGTGGAAAAGTCAACCCAAAGCAGATCAAGAAGGGCTGAGGATGAAAAATGCTCTAATGTCAATGTCTTATCTTGCTGGTGGTGAAATCACTAAAATCTCCTAAATAGGAAGGAGGGGAGTGATCAGCAAGGCCGGAAGGGAGCATTCATTCACCACGACACCAGCCCCTCTGGTGAACTCTTGACATCCATCCCCAGCAGACCCAACTTCTCAGGGCAGAGGGTGCCTGTCCATTTTTGCATCTCCAAGGCCTGGCACATGGTGGGTGCTCTACAAATGTACTTAGGGTTGTCTTACCCAGCAAGCTTCACTTTTCTTCTTTTTGTCTTTGTTTGAGGTGAATGGCAAATTACTGAAACAAATCTTACAGAGAAAAGAATACATTGTCAACGGTTAGATACTCTGTTTCCTCTTATTGCTTAGGAACTCTGGACAACAAGTACATGTTGAATGAAATAAAAGAAATGAACGAACAAGGAAAATATTTTAAAAAGTAAGATAGGGTGACAGTATAAGGTTCTGAAGCTAGAAGAAACACTAGAGAAAATAATTAGAGCTGGGTGTGGGGGTGCATCCCTATTATACCAGCTACTTGGGAGGCTGAGGTAAATTCAAGGCCAGCATGCCCAACTTAGCAAGACCCCTGTCTCAAAATTAAACAAAAAAAGGTTGGGGATGTAGCTCACTGGTAGAGCATCCCTGAGTTCAAGCCCCAGTACTGTAAAAGGAAGAAGAAATCACACATCCAGTAATTTAACAGAAATTCATAAATCACTGCAGCAAGGCTGGACTATATCAGGCTTTCTTGTGGCAGTTGGGTTGTTTTAGTAAAGCAAGAGAATAGCTAGTTGTGTTTAAAAGATGGCTCCTGGGGACTGGGGTTGTGGCCCAGTGGTAGAGCACTTGCCTAGCATGTGTGAGGCACTGGGTTTGATTCTCAGCACTGAATATATATATATAAAGTCTATTGACAACTAAGAAAATATCTAAACAACAACAACCACAACAAAGATGGCCCCTGGCACATAGTTTTAAAATTCTCTTTATTGGCTCTAAAGATGGTGGTAGGAGCTGCCTCACAGTCCAGGGGAAAAAAAAAAAAAAAAAAAAGGGAATATGGTCATGATTAGAGGAAGGGGCAGCCCTACCAGTGGCTGATGGAAAGGCCCATCTCAGTGGCATTAAAGTATGTAGGGGGCACTTGTGGCTCCTGCAGTTTCTACTTTGCATTCTCAGATTCAAAGAGAACAATGCCTCGAGCTTTCAGCCTCACAGAGAGCCCAGCCTACTAAGGTGACATCAAAACCAGAGGTTTTTTTTTTTTTGGTTGTAAATAGACACAATATCTTTGCTTTATTTATTTATTTTTATTTATTTTACGTGGTGCTGAGGATCAACCCCAGCGCCTCACGCATGCGAGGCAAGTGCTCAACCGATAAGCTACAACCCCAGCCCCCAAACCAGAGGGTTTAAAAGGAGTTTTAAAAAGCCATGACATACTTTGTTGAAATAAACATGCACATCCTCAACACAGATGACACGGTGAAGAGTCTTGGAATGTCTGTGAAGACTTATTGGGTTAAGCATAATTTCTCTGAAATGTTAAAAAGAAAAAAAAGGAAGAAATTCATAAATCAGATTGGATCCCTAAGGCACCTCATCTCCCCTGTGAACTTTCCTGTGGCAGCTGTAACAGGAGAAGGTTGAAGTGCATCTTCAGTCTCAACGTGGCTCCCTAAAAGCAGACCAATTCCTAGATTCCACTATAGAGATTGTCCAATAATTGGTTTGTTTGGGGGGCCAGGAAATCCGTATTTTATCCTATTTATTTGTTTGTTTTTTTGCCGTTGAAGATTGAATGCAGGACCTTGTGCATGCTAAAAATTCTCTCTGCCACTGGCTCCTTCCTGAGCCATAGGTACTTTTAAAACAGCCAGGGTGGAGAACCAGTGAGCTCTGAGGTTCACACGATAATGAATTCAAATTCTTATCTCTTTAAGTTCAAGGAAGCATTTCTATAGAGAATATTTTTGATAAAGGTTGTAGTGTTCTCAGCCCTGGTTCCTGACCCTTCCAAGAACTGTCTGTCTCCATCATCTCTTGATTTTCTTTCCTGTGGGTCTTAGGCTTTCACCCTTGCTGCCTTCTGTTGTTTACCTTCCAAACTTGTTTAAGTTTCCCTGATCCTTGGCAAGACAATGAAAACCCTGTCCTCAACACTGCTGCCTATTCTTTGAACTCTTTGCCCATCCCTGTTCTCCTTCCTTTCATCATTTTTTGAAACAGCGTTCTGTTTGGTGCACTCAATTGCAGGTCTTCTGTTCCCTTGGCCCATTGAAATCCACTTTGGATATTCCCACCAACAAAAAGTTTGCCTTCAAAAACCCAGCAGCTTCCAATGTACCAGTCATCCTGTTTCCTTAGCCATCCTGTCATTCTCTGCAGTTTCTGACACTCTGTATTGATGATCTCTTCCTTCTTAATGTGCTTTTTCTATCCTAACTTCTCTGTCGTGGCATTCTCAGAATTTCTTACCTTTTTCTGACCATTGCAAACTATTGGGAAAATAGGGAAGTGTATATTTGGACTGACAAGGACTGACAACCTATTTACATTCTTTCATTTAACAAATGAAAGAATTTATTTAGTGATTACAAAGGGCCAGTTATCTATGGCTACATAAGAAATTAGCGTAATCTTCGTGGCTTAAAAACAACACATATCTATTATCTTACCGTTTTTGTGGATCAGAAATCTGAGCACTGCTTAGCTATACTTTCTGCTTCAGGGTCTTTCACGAGGCTGCATCATGGTGTTGGCCTGGGGTGGATTCTAATCTGAAGATTCAGCTGGGAAAGGATGCACTACCAAGCACCAAACTTCTAATGTGCAGGCAACATTGACAATCACTGCTTCTAGAAGGGCAGTTGAAGAAACAGAGTCTTCAGAGAGTGAAAAGATGACAAATTATCCAATGCTTACCGAACAGAGAGAATTTAACTAGAGTTAAAACTGAATTTAAAGAAGTCTCTCTCTCTCTCTCACACACACACACACACACACACATTTCAAATAGCATATAACAGCTTAACTAAAGTGATCACTGATTGGATGGTCAATTAAATGGGGAACATGTCTTCATGAGACTGAGGAGGGGTCAGAAATGTAAAAGAGAATAAAAATGTAGCCTCTTAAAATCCAATAATTTAATTTTTGTGCACATGAAGTAAGCAATAAAATGAAATAAGGAACTACTTGCAAAAAATTTAGTATTTCCCTTTGTGTTTAGAGAGAGAGAGAGAGAGAGAGAGAGAGAGAGAGAGAGAATGTGTATGTGTGTATGTGTGTTATGGATAGAACTTACTTGCAAGTTATTCTGATATCTTCTTTTATTTTCTAGGAATATTTTGAAAACCATTGCTCTGGGCCAGATGTTGTCCTTGTGTATATGTGGGACAGCCATCACCAGCCAGTATTTGACAGAAAAGTACAAAGTGAACACCCCCATGCTTCAGAGCTTTATCAACTATTGCTTACTGTTCCTAATTTATACAATGATGCTGGCATTTCAGTCAGGTAGGTCAAATGTGGAAATTACCTTTTCAATAAAATTGTCTTCAAAAAGATGTTCTGCTTTTAGACGCTTAAAAAATAAAACAGTGCAAAACCAAGAAAGAAAACTGTAGCATTAGTTATAAAAGTTATTAGAAAAATATGACACTTTAAAAGTCTGAAAGTAGTGACTAGAAATTTATGCATAACTCTCTGAAGTTGTTGATTAAAATCAAGTATGTAGCACCAGCTATTTGTAACAGGGTAGAAGTTGTAAAAAAAAAAAGTGTAAATGTTAGATTTCATTTTTTTTTCTTCTTCTCTCCTCTGGTTGATAAAATTAAGAGCCAATATCAGAAACACTTGAAAAGTCAAGAACTTTACTTTCCAAAATACCTAGTTCTAGCCAAGGGGAGAATGCTGCATACGCATGGATTACGTGTGGATCAAGTCCATTTTGAGAGTGACAAAGATGAGAACTTGGCAAAGAATTAACATCATTATTGCTAGCACCATTAGAAAATTGTTGAATTATTGTTTCTAGCTAGTTACACAAAAATGGGAAAAGCTAGACATTTTTTTTTTGTGTGTGTGTGGTGTTGGAAATCAGACCCAGGGTGTTGGTCACATGAGGCTCACATTGAGCTCCACCAGAGCAATCATCATTTTGATTGCTTAACTCGTTTGTTATATATGGACTCATGGAAGCCTCATAGCTCAGGTGTTATGTTATCCTCATTTAACAGAAGAGAAAGCAGATGTGTAGCACTTAGATCACTTGCTTTAGGTTATGTTGGTGGTAACTGGTAGAACCAGGAATTCAACCTAGGCAGCCTGTCCCAGATACCATGCTCCCATCACCTGTCTGTGTTAGGGGCTGCTTGTTTTGCAGTCCTAAAGTCCTTCTCACAAGAAAAGAAGAACATGGTATCGCCAAATCAATTAAAAAAGATTCAGTTCAGGAGCATGAAGAAAATGGGCAACCCAGCTGACTGGGTTTCATCGTATTTAAAATTACCAGTGTGGCATTTGTTAATCCACTTTTAAAATGAATCTTAGTGCATTGGTGGTATTCCTATGTGTCAGGATCATGACTTTTTCTTAAAATAGAAACTAGTTGTGAGAGGGGAAAACATGTTTGGGAGTGGGGGAACACCACATTTGGCAAGAGTTCTAGAAGTTGGAAGCAAAACGAGTACATGGTTTACAGACATAGACCTTGCTCTTTTCTGGAAGCCCTGGACTTCAGGAAGTCAATGTGATTCATAAGTGCATCATGAGGTCCTCCTAAGGAATGCTTGTTGTGTGCTTGCCATGGATCTTACATCTAGGAAGACTTACTCTGTTTTCAGGATATTCCTGCCAATTGGATTTTAATGATGTTTATTTGGTTATGATTCTCATTAGTTTTATTTCTTTTTAACAAAATCTTTTTAGTTATACCTGAACACAATATATTTATTTTGTTTATTTAGTTTTATGTGGTGCTGAGGATCAAACCCAGTGCGTCACACGTGTGAAGCAAGTGCTCTGCCACTGACCCACTACCGCAACCCACTAGTTTTATTTCTTCATGGGTTATCTTACCATAAAGCTTCCCCTATACATGCCAACTCAATGTCTCCTGTGATGCTCGATTCTCCAGAGTATTGACTCTTTGTTAATATGAATAAACAAGATTTGGTGGAATAAAAGGTGTTTGTTTAGTTGTATGGCTGGGCCTTTTCCTAAGCTTATCACTGGCTTCCTTTCACTTAACAGTTCATCTTTTTCAAAAGAAAGACCACTTGCAGAGTTTCCTTTGAAGAAGCCCATGAATGGAGGTTAAATAACCAGTTAATTCACAGGAAAACATTTCATTTCCTAGAATAGTCTGTGGCTAGTCAGAAATAGTGACATCCACACTCATCTGGATTTTGTACTTCTTTGACAACAGGAAAGAAAATTTAACCACTTTTCTCTCAATTTCTTTCTGGTGTTTTCATTGACTACTTGGTCTATGGTGACACCTTAACTTGAGTATCATCTAGAAAAAATATGACTCTGCTAAGGTGGTGCAGGAGTTTGGATTCTGGGTAATGAAACTTAGGTGGGACCACTTTCAAAATACACAATACAGAATACAGATCAGAGAGTCCTGGCTCTGATCTCCAGATGAATATGTGTTTTATTATTTTCAAGTAACATGAACTAATCCAGCATTCTTTCAACCAGGCAGTGATAACCTTTTAGACATCTTGAAAAGGAAATGGTGGAAGTACATTCTGCTGGGACTGGCAGATGTGGAAGCGAATTACACGATCGTCAGAGCATACCAATACACCACTCTAACCAGTGTCCAGGTGAGAGGGAGCCTTCTGACCACTGTGGATTTTATAGCTTCAAGAGGAGAACATGTGCTTATGTGTACTAACTAATTTTATTGAAATCTGTTCACTTGAAGAAATAACCTAAACACAGGTGGATGATATCTGTTTTCCAGTAGAGCACATGCAGTAATGAGTAATATTGCCCGGAATTAGTAAAAAAATGTATACATGTTAATCATTTCCTAAACCACTAATGCTAGAGCAGTTTAGAACAATTCCTACCAAAATAAGCACAAATATTTAGTTGGCAGTTGGTACTGTGATGTTGACAGGAGTTCTGTTTTATGCGTTGCTCAAACATGAAAGTGGATGTATCTTTATACTACAGAAAAGTTGGAGGTTTGCAAGCAAAGGAACCTATTGAAGGAGCCTATTAAACATCTTGGGGAGAGAGGGTAGCCAAAGGTAGAACTCTCATCCCTATTTCTTTATTAGTTTTATTCTTGTAGGGTTGAAAGAAAAGTGCTCCTATATAGCATTAATTTCCAACTTTTTTGGAGTTGAGGAAGACTTAATTTCAGTTGTTTAAATGTTAGTGGGGATGCTATGTATTAATACCAACTCATCATTACTAGCAACAAAATGTATATGGAGATGGAAGTGAAATGGACTCCATGTTTAAACTTCGAAGTTCTATGAATTTATAACTTTTTGATATATTACTTTTCTCACTATGCAGTTTGTATTAGACCTACAAATTTTAGCAACTGTGGAAAAATTAAAGTGAAATTAAACTCATTTCACTGGAAAAGGTAAAGATTGACAAAAATTTATTTTTTCTATATGAACATACATTAAATGTTATTCCCAGAATATGTTTTGTTAAATACTTTTTTCCCCCCTATAAAATTGTGCTAAGCATCATCCTCAGCAAATCCTTTGGTTTTTTCACTGGTATAGCTTAAAATTCCCAGATAGGAAATGATTTGTTAAGACAGACATTGTTTTAGTCACCAAAATTCCTGACAAGAATAGTTAGAGGGGGAAAAGTTTATTTTCTCAGTCCATAGATGACTAACTGCATAGCTCTGAGCCCAGGGTGAGGCAGAACCCTTGGCAGAGGAGCATGGTAGAGGAAAACAGCTCAGGATGTGGTAACAGGAAGTAGAGAGAGCTCTCCTGGGACAAAATTCATACCCAAAGGCTGGCTCCCAGTAGCCTATGTACTCCAGCCACACCCTACCTGCCTACAGTCACCACTAGTTAATCCATATCAGTGGGATAAGCCATCCATCAAGTTACACTCATAACCTAATCATATCACCTCTGAACGTTCTTGGGTTATCTCACACATGAGCTTTCAAGGGACACCTTATATCTAAACTGTAAGCTGAACACCAGAGGAGGCACACAAAGAACCTAGAATTTCATAAAAATTATAAGCAGAGTTACGTAAAGGATGAAGTTTGTCACAAGGAGGAGTGAGTACATATAGAAAATGTCATTTTCTAGTCACATCTACCCTTATAATTTCAGATACTTTTTTTTTTTTTTTGGTGCTAGAGAGTGAACTCAGATACATTTTAATTACTTGATTTCAGTTTTCAGAAACTTTGATATCTGACTAGTAATGATGAACAGCTTTTTAATTGGTTCAAGGTCTACACACAGTTAAACAAAATACTTACCTTTGGATTTTCTTTAAGGGGGGGGGTACCAGGAAGTGAACCCAGGGGTACTTGATCACTGAGCCACATCCACAGCCAGTTTTATTTTTTATTTTGAGACAAGGATCTCCCTAAGTTACTTAAGTCCTTGCTACGTTGCTGAGACTGACTTTGAACTTGTGATCCTCCTGCCTCAGCCTCCTTAGCTTCTGGGAGTACAGGCTTGTACCAACATGCCCGGCTTACCTGTTGCAACTGAAGTTCATGCTTTTTCCTATTGAAAACAATTTCTTATATGCTAGCCCTTTAGAAAAACCTAAGCATTTGATTGTCAAGTCACATACTTCTGGTCCTAGCAAAGAATATATTATTTCAGAAAAAGCATCTAACAACTAAAGCTCCTTCTAGCAGCAGAGATTCCTATGATTGGATTTATTCAAGTTGATTCTCTGTTAAAGTAAATCTCTGACAGGGGAAATCTGAAAATGTGGAAATTTGGATTAGAAAGTCTTTGTACCTCCTTCTTAAGGATTCCTTCAAAGATTCGTAATTACAGGTAGTCAGACGGTGTTTCATTGAAGTTCATGGTGTGGCCTTGGGTTTCTACTCCTGTCTCTTCCCACTCTTCTGCCACATCTGCCCATCCCCTACCATATCTGCTCCTTCTCTCTTTTGCCACTCTATTTTTTTCTAGAATATAATCTAGAAATCTGTTTTGAAGTCCTCTCCCCTTTCTTAAGGCTTACTTCAATGTGGCTATCTTTTCTATACGCTATTGTTCTTTTTTATTTTATTAAAATATATATTTATTTTGTTATATATGATGGCAGAATGCAATTCATTTCATATTACATGTATATTGCACAATTTTTCAAGTTTCTGGTTGTACACAAAGTATCTTCACACCATTCCTGTCTTCAAACATGTACTTAGGGTAATGATGTCTAACTCATTCCACCATCTTTCCTACCCCCAAACTCCCTCCCTTCCCCTCCCTCCCCTTTGCCCTATCTAAAGTTCCTCCATTCCTCCCATGCTTCCTCCCAATTGCCATTATGAGTCAACATCCTCATATCAAAGAAAACATTTGTGTTTTTTTGGATTGGCTTACATCACTTAGCATGATATTCTTCAACTCCATCCATTTACCTGCAAATGCCATTATTTTATTCTCTTTTAATGCTGAGTAATGTTCCATTGTGTATATATGCACCAAAGTTTCCCTATCTATTCATCTACTGAGGGGCATCTGGGTTGGTTCCACAATTTAGCTATTGTGAACTGTGCTGCTATGAACATTGATGTGGCTGTGTCCCTGTAGTATACTGTTTTTAAGTCCTTTGGGTATAGACCAAGGAGAGGGATAACTGGGTCAAACAGTGGTTCCATTCCCAGTTTTACAAGGAACCTCCATACTGCTTTCCATATTGGCTGCACCAATTTGCACTCCCACCAGCAATGTATGAATGTGCCTTTCTCCCCACATCCTCACGAACACTTATTGTTGTTTGTATTCTTAATAGCTGCCATTCTGACTGGAGTGAGATGAAATCTTAGAGTAGTTTTGATTTGCATTTCTCTAATTGCTAGAGATGTTGAACTTTTTTTATATGTTTGTTGATTAATTGTATACCCTCTTCTGAGAAGTGTCTGTTCAGTTCCTTGGCCCAATTATTGATTGGGTTATTTGTTTGTTTGTTTTTTTTTTTTGGTGTAAAGGTTTTTGAGTTCTTTATATATCCTAGAGATTAGTGCTCTGTCTGATGTGCTTGTGGTAAAGATTTGCTCCCATTCTGTAGACTCTCTATTCACTTCATTGATTGTTTCTTTTGCTGAGAAGAAGCTTTTGATTTTGAGTCCATCCCATTTATTGATTCTTGGTTTTAATTCTTGCACTATAGGAGTCTTATTAAGTAAGTTGAGGCCTAATCCGACATGATGGAGATTGGGGCCTACTTTCTCTTCCATTAGGTGAAAGATCTCTGAATTGTTGAGTTGAGTTTTGTGCATGGTGAGAGATAGGGGTTTAACTTTATTTTGTTGCATATGGATTTCCAGTTTTCCCAGCACCATTTGTTGAAGAGGCTATCTTTTCTCCAATATATGTTTTTGGCACCTTTGTCTAATATGAGATAACTGTAATTATGTGGGTTAGTCTTTGTGTCCTCTATTCTGTACCATTGGTCTACAAGTCTATTTTAGTGCCAATAGCATGCTGTTTTTGTTACTATTGCTCTGTAGTATAGTTTAAGGTCTGGAATAGTAATGCCACCAGCTTCACTCTTCTTGCTAGGGATTGCTTTGGCTATTCTGGGTCTCTTATTTTTCCAGATTAATTTAATGATTACTTTTTCTATTTCTATGAGGAATGTCATTGGAATTTTGATTGTCGTTGCATTGAATCAGTATAGTGCTTTTGGTAGTATGATCATTTTGATAATACTAATTCTGCCTATCCAAGAACAAGGTAGATATTTCCATCTTTAAGGTCTTTTTAAATTTCTTTATTTAGCATTCTGTAGTTTTCGTTGTAGAGGTCTTTCACCTCTTTCATTAAGTTGATTCCCAAGTATTTTTTTTTTTTTTTGAGGCTATTGTAAATGAGGTAGTTTTCCTCATTTCCCTTTCAGAGGATTTGTCACTGATGTACAGAAATGCCTTTGATTTATGGGTATTGATTTTACATCCTGCTACTTTGATGAATTCATTTATTAGTTCTAGAAGATTTCTGATGTAATTTTTTTGTGTCTTCTAGGTATAGAATCATATCGTCAGCAAATAGTGCTAATTTGAGTTCTTCTTTTCCTATCCGTATCCCTTTAATTTTTTTTTCAACTGTCAAATTGCTGTGGCTAGAGTTTCAAGAATTATGTTAAATAGAAGTGGTGAAAGAGGGCATCCCTGCCTTGTTCCAGTTTTTAGAGGGAATGCTTTCAATTTTTCTCCGTTTAGAATGATATTGTCCTGGGGCTTAGTATAAATAGCTTTTACAATGTTGATATGTTTCTGATATCTCTAGTTTTTCTGGTGTTTTGAACATGAAGCTGTGCTGTATGTTGTCAAATGCTTTCTCTGCATCTATTGAGATGATCATATGATTTTTATCTTTGAAGCTATTGATGTGATGCATTACATTTATTGATATCTGTATATTGAACCAACTTTGCATCCCTGAGATCAATTCCACTTGATTGTGGTGCACTATCTTTTTGATATGTTTTTGTATTCGATTTGCTAGAATTTTATTGAGAATTTTTGCATCTGTATTCATTGGAGATATTGGTCTGAAGTTTTCTTTCTTTGATGTGTGTTTGTCTGGTTTTGGAATCAGGGTGATATTGGCCTCATAGAATGTGTTTGGAAGTG